CATTCCGGAGTGGGCGTGCATTTCGTGGTGTGTGCATCCATTTGCTTGCCCACGAGTGTTTATGCCCGTCGGTCTGTTTGTGTTTACAGCCGCCATCAAAACAGATGGCCAAACCTTGGGGATGCAGGCGGCGGGGGTGGCGAGAGGGGCAAGGGTGTTGGGCGGTGCATGTACAAGTGGTTCCTCAGTTTGGGCGTCGCGTTTGGCGCTTTCTATTGATCAGCGAGCGTCAGGAGAAATTCGATATGGGAACACACACAGATGGTTTTAAACGGGGAAGGGAGATTGTGCGTGCGTCCAACGTGACGTATGAGTGATGCTCGGAATGCCTTGAATCATGCACACACGCGGCGTATGAGTGATTTCTCTTAGCGATTGCGTACTTAATGAAAAAAACACAAGCGATTTTGTTTTATTCTTCGCTTTGGCACTTGATATGAGAAGAATGTACATTTTTGGCGGCGCGTGTAGGAACTGCCCTTAATAGTAAAATATAAAAAAAAAAAAAAGAAAATAATGAGAAACCTATATTTCTTATCCAAGTTTTTACAAAGCAATACAAAACATTGAGGAAAGGCTGATACTAAAACAAAATTGTCGATTACATAAGACAAAAATAGTTGCAACGGCTGCGAAAATGCACTTAAATGTATAAACCAGAAACAGAAATACATTTTCGACCGAAATCGCATTAAACGCTGAGGTTGCTATTGCCTGCACTCGAATGTTTGGCCGAGCGCAAACCAAAATGCAATAAAACACCGCACACACGCTGCCAGCAGAGTGCAAATAATACACAAACATTGAAAATTCATGGCCAAACAGCGAGGGAGCGGGCAGAAATGATTTATGCAAATATAACAAGCGCCAGCCAGCCAGCCAGCCATCCAGCCAGCTCCGTCCGATTCTCCGAAACCGATTTTTCCCATTTCACGATTGCGTCGAAAGCCTTCAAATGGCGTTCACGTGCGATCAAGTGATCGCTCCATGTGCCATGTGCCAGTCACCGGATGACGGGGCCCAGAGCTCCACGAGTCGGTGGTACCACTCACTGGAACCGAGAAAGCCCAATGAGTTGGGCAAATGTTTTCGCCAGCCGCCTTCAATCTAATTTCTCGCCGTTTTCCCAGAAGTGATAACAATCTGATAATGTTGCCAAACAACGAAAGCCGCGACTCAAATCGGATGCTAATTGAACTCAACTTAAGTGATTTTGATTTTAAAATCAATGAATGTAAGCAATATCGATCTTTAAAACGGAAGAAGAGTTAGATTACAGTACAGATTAGGTTTCAAAGATCTTCAATCCAAAATAGTAAACAAAGTTCCTAATGAACTTGCGTGCAAAGCAGGTGACACTATTTCGAAACGTATTAATTTCATTAGTTGATTAGTTTAAACAAAACTAAACTCGGCGGGCAGCTGATTGCGGTCAAAAAATTCCATAGGCCATTCAGAGACGCGTGCCGAGTCACGCACTAATCTGACGGAAAAGGTGTTTTTCCTGAGCCGAGCTTCCCCAAAGGCAGAGCGCATGATCGGCCGTCTGACACACGCCTGCGAAAAGTTCTTTCACCTCTAATGGATTTAGTTTCATGTTTTAGTCCGGTGATCGTAAACGATCGGCGGCGACGTCGGGAACCTTCAATGCCAGCGATAGATAAGGGCGAAGCCTCAAGGGGGCGCGGCGCCACAGCGAATTATAAACAAATTTATTTGCGCGTGGCGAAGAGAAAATGAAGTGAAGAGAAGCCGAAGCCAAAGCCGGAGGCATTCTACGAGAACAGGTGGAGACTCTCTTTGGCCAACCGGCATACTTCATTCATGCTATCAGTGCCAAAAGGCATTCTTTCTATTTTCGCATTTCCGTTTGCCAAATAACGATTATTTATTTGGCCACCTTTTCGGTGATATTTTCTTTACTTTGTGTCTTGTGGGTTGGACTTGTTCTGGCAGGGAAAGCATGGGATCTGATTAAGCGAAGGCCACTCTGATTAGGATTGTTTTGAATAATATTGGCAGCATATTGATTAATCTAGCAACAAACTCATTTGTATAAGAATTTTGATTCAGATAAGGAATGAATATGAAAGAAACTGAATCATAATGACTGTCAAATAATGTTGAATTATATTTATAAATGTTATATTATTACTCTTAGTTGACATGAAGAGCAGTTCCCTTCCACCGCCCGGCCTGGCCGTTTCGCATTCTTGAGATTGAATGGCCGCTACCGCTGTTTATGTTATTAACACAACAAACAACCACTTAGCTTAAAAATGATCTCAAGCAGTTGGTGGGGTTTAAAAATAAACACAGGGCGAGAAGCGGCGACGGAAGCACGAGTACATAGAGTAAGGGGCCAGGCCAAAGTGGCCGAAAATAAATATTGAGATGGCTATTTTTAGGCCGAAGAGCCGCGTATCCGTTCCTCAATTGCACGGCCGCAGATTGAAGTTTCTAAATGGGGGTCGTATCGAATAGTGCTCGCAATGTTAATTGGCACCGCTCGAGCGGATCGCTTCAAGTCTAGACTCGAGACAAATCGCTTAAAATTAGATCTTTTGACTTCAATGGGACCGCCTTTGGTCTTTGGGCTCTTGTGATTGCGATGCCAGAAATAAGTTCGTTTGAAGAGATATAGTAAGTGACTGTCAAACTTAACTAGCAAATAGTAATATTTACCATTTAATACCCTCACTTCATACACCTTGGGCTTTCTCTCACGTTGTGACACTCGCATTACCTTCGTGCTATTAATTATGCAGACGAAATTACATTTCAGCGATTTACCTACTCAATTGAGCGCAATAAACATGGCAAGCGGCTGTAATTGGCGCTTATGTTGTTGTCGTGGCTGCAGTTCGCAGTTCATAAATCAAGTGCGAGTGCAAAGTATCTGACAGATACAAATAGCGAATGCCCGGCGTAATGATTGCCGCGTTTACGTTCACTTACACTCCATCAATTGCGTAGTTTACTGCCGAAAGTCAGCAGTGAAAAAGTGCGAAATGAGCAGCAAAAAAGTCATCATCATCGCCAATGCATTCCGGGCTTTAATCAGTAATCGTTAAAGTAATATATAGTATAGTACTATATTTAGTACTACTACTAATCGTGGGGCAATTAGCAAGACGAGTGAATGATTCTAACGGCGCATATGCAGCGATCGAAGCGCTGGCCAGTGTAAATATAATTAAAGATGCTTGTTTAGTGGGCAAAACAGTCATTAAGTAATACCTGCATATGGCATCTGGAATGGTACTTAGAAGCTGTAATCTAAACATTGAACTTTACAGATTGCAAGGCGGATGGCACATCTAATCAGAATAAACAATAACATTAGTAGTCCTGACTACGTTGAGCTTTAACTGTTGGTATTAAATAATAAATCAAACGATTGTATGAAATCTATGACATAAACAAGATATTGAAAACCGAAAATGCATTTAGGAAGCTTTTATAATTTTCATTTGATCGTTCAACTTGCTCTCTTTCATGAAAACAAACACATTTTATTGACTGTTAGAAAAACATCGATTGCTAATTCTTAAACAATTCTATATAATAATGGGCTCAATTAGCTAGGCAATAATATTTCCAATAAATTCTAGCCAAGAGCCTAATGTGCTGATTTACAGAAAGTCAATTTGGGCCACGTCTATGCTGCCCCACTTTGGTGTTGGCTAAAACGTAATTCGCTCTGCTAATGCGCACTTTTGGCAGAGATTAGAGCACACAATTAGTATATGTACATATTAGCTGGCAGGTACATCAGGCATTCATATATGTAAACGGGTCAGCCGCGATAAGAACCGAGGGCCCAATGAACTCACGTGAGTGCGATTTGTGAATGATTTACGAGTGACATGACGAATATCTTACGACTGTCTGGCCCGGCTCTGGATAATGTCCTATGGTCGATTTCCCAATAACCCAGGCGCCAGTCGAAGAAATATATCCCATATAGGCAAAATCAATTTGCATAAATAACTCAGAAGCAAGCAAATTGTGGGAAAGTGGGTCTTGCACTTGCAGGAATGGAAATCTTGGTAGTTTATCAATTTTAATAGCTGGAAGCTAGCTGGTTCCCTGCACCATAAGCAACATAAAGATAACTTTTACGCGGCACGTGGAAACTACAATTGGGTCAGACAACACACATGCTCACAGTGTACCTGTGTGAAGTTAAAAACTTTCATGATATTATATCATGAATTAAGTGAATTTTGCTACTCTCTATAGCACATAACAGCAGGGAAAACTAACAGTTTCTTACACCTTTAATTCAGCTTAGTTAAACAGCTTAACTTTATTCCGACAGTTTCCCCTAACTTGGCCCCACTGTACGAGCGTGTTATGCACGAAATATGTTTATCAGTTCGAACTTCGCAGCGCGCCAGCGATAATATTGGCAATTATATCGGCGCCTCGCACGTGACCACTTTCAAGTTCAGCGCCGCAGTAAGGCAGTGCTGGTGCTGGCATAATCGCTCCAAGAGACAGTTGGCCAGGTGGCGAAAGCAAGGCGTGGGGGTGGACAGGTGAAAGAATTCTTATCTAAGGGGTTCGGCGGCATGGACAGACAAGTGAGGCCACCCAACGTGGACCTCGTCAAGGACTGGGCTCTTATGCAGGCCAAAGTTCCATTCTCAAGTTCAAATGCAGGATTATGCCGGAAAGTTATGGGAAAGTTACACAAGTGCTGGGAAAAGTTTTGCTACAATAAGTTTACCCTATGCTAGGGAAATTATAGCTTAAACGGGAATATAGTAACTATAAACCAGCTATTAATATCATTTAAATATCAGTTAAACTATATTTTTTGTAGGGCAAAGGTAATTAAACTTCGGACTTCGCTTTCGTTCTCTGTTTATCTGATGTACTAACTTGGTTGTTTTTATTGATCACCCGATTTGTGGCAAATTCTGATGATATTTTTAACGTTTGCTGATGAGTTTTCTATTTATATTTTGGCCCCGAGGCAAAGGCACCTGAGATTAAATGGAATTCAAACTGCCAAAACGATTTGTACTTTGGCTGGTTTTCTTTTTATTTGAAGTGAGCCGATTTCCATAGAAAGGGTGGTGAGTGCTGACGGGGAGGTAGCAAGTTACGTGGCGACACCCCGCAATTCCAAATCAATTATGACACTAAGCCCCATAAAAAACTGGCGCCATCGCTGGGTTTCAGAACGCGGAGAGTGCGATAACCATAAAGTTAACAATTTTTAAGATCCAGCTGTGGTTTATTCCGGAAATTTCTTGTTTTTTTTCCAGTGCACAAGTGCGAGGGCCCCGAACAAATAGCAAAGCAAGCGGCTGGAATTTCAAACGGGAGTACCGCCTTTACCGTCGGCGGCCGGCTCCGGCCCCTCCGGCTTGGGCATTGGCACTGGCGCCAACCTCGGCGCCCGCTCCTATGCCAGCGGCCATCCCGGCTCCGGGTCCGTCCTGGGCGGCATCGGCCGATCCACTGCCTTGAGCCCCAATTTGTCCGCCAGCCCCTGCCGCCGCGCCCATGCCCCCTTGGGCGGCACCCATAGCACTGTCGGGTTGGTTCGGGACTTGGGCCTCAGCGAAGCACTAATAAAGGGAGTTAGTTTGGTTAGTGCAGGTAATCAATGAGTATTTAACTCCCTCAAGGTTCAGGGGTTGTAGGGAATCGAACGGAATAAGGAGACCTCACCACTAGCATTGCCAAAGCTATCCAGGATAGTACAGCGACTTTCATTATTAGGGGAACTCCTCAGATACAGGTTGAAGTAAACTTTAGGTGAGCTATGGCAGACTCTATCAGTTTATATAGCCACCATAATGCCAATGGAATCTCGTGAGAAGCTCCTACATACAATGTTTGTTATCCAAACACAAATCTTGGGCTGCCTTGGGTCGATAGCATCTAAGTTGGTTGTCGGGCATTCATTATATATTATTAATAAATTTTATTGTTGACAATCGCTTAATTGCTCCCGTGCCTGTGCCCCGTGCCCCGTGCCCCGTGCATGCTTCTGGCGTGAGTCTATTAATAAATAACTTAATAATTAACCAACCAGTTCAGTCCAGTCGACCGAGCAGTGGAATGATGGCATTGCGACCGATATAGTTGTTATTGCGGGAAAAATATTGAGTAATTGCGCAAAGTACAAGGTCAATATCAAACAAAAGCGAAAACACAGCAGCGGAATGTAACTGCCATAAAAACGAAACATTATTTATGCCTTCGCATCTCTTATCTCCCTCAGCCGGCTTATAATGAACCTAATTCCACTGTAGAAGCTCTGTTATCTGTTATCTGTTCCCAAAAGTTGGAAGTTGCTTTAGATTCAAAGAAGTGATAGTCCACTATCATTCCTACTCATAGTGCACTTGCTAAACGGATGATCGCAATTTGAATGGGGAAATTAAGGTAATTGATTTATGGCTGCTGCATTTCCAATCCGCAATTACGCGGCACGAATAAAGGCAACAATGATAAACAAAACAATTACATTGAACCATCACACACGCAGCCATAAATATATGTAATTACAAATTCAATGCTTTTCGGAGTTAATTTGTTTATTTGGCAGGCCATCGTTAAGCCTTAAACATAAATAAATAAATATATAAATAAGCCATTTGGCAGTGCAGATGCAGCTAACACAGCGAACAAAAAACACGGCAACACCCACATACGACCATCGTTTGTCATTGTTATTGGCTCGTCTGTGGGTGGCCGCAGTAATGGGCCATATTCCCGATTATCACGTAGCCAGACCCAAAAAACAGTCGCAACAATGGGACTGCGGAGCGCTGTTTGTGGCATCATTAAAAATTAAATCAAAATTAAATGTTCATCAAATGCAATAAAAGCGATGGCGCATGTGAGTTTCATACACCTTGATGTGGTTTTATTATTTATTTTCCTCGGGAATACCCTTTTCATCTCGCAGTCGCATTCAGGAAGTCCATTCGAGTCGCATTTCAGCTCTTATTTACGGAACAAACAAATTTATGGTTTTGTTTTCTAGCATTAAGTGGGGTTTGAGATTATTTTTAAACCATTTAATAACTATTGCTATGACTCATAAGTCACGACATTTTCAAATTATTCGAATGGAAATTACTCATTCCCCGGGGGCCCTGAGTAACGCAGCATAATCAGTATCAGTATCATATCAGGCGTATCAAGCTTATTTTGCGGTTTGTTTTCTGAGAAATTTTGACGCGTACGTGTGACATATTTTCTGGAGGCGCCGCCGATAAGGCGCTTCAGACGACAGCAATAACAAAACGAAAACCAAACAAAAACCCCGAGAAAACAAAGGCAACAGCACAGCAACGGACAACGGGCAACTGCAAGACGACAATCCCACAGATATAGATTATAAAAACAGACAGTTGTAGGTATACGAGTTGCCTCGCCGCCGCCACTTTGGCATTCAAAGCATCATCATCGGCGTCCCTGGAAATTGTGAGTCCCCGCCAGGCCAAGTATTTGCCTTCGTGGCGTCTCGTCAACTCGGTCTTCGATGTAAATAATTACAACGAAATCGAATAAAAAGCAAACTCTTGCTGACTGGGTATTTCCACTTTAAACAGTCCAAGTGCGAGATGGGAATCCCTTTTGAGCCAAAAAGTTTTTAAAGCTTATACTAGAGTGCTGATTGGTGAGAAATGCCTTCCTAACTAGGATAATGAGACTAGAGTAAGCCATACAGCTATATATCTTCGATATATGAAAGGTATTGAAAGGTTTAACAAGTAATAAAAAGTATATTAAACTGCAGGAGATCCGCGTGTTATTATTTCAGGAACTTGAAAGAATATATTATTAAGAGTAAGTAGGCTTAATGCAAGCTGAAAAGCCATCTGTTCCTTGTTAATGACCTCTTTTTGTGGGCTGTAAATTTCGGAGAATGGAAAAATCATTCCCTTAACCGCCAGTCAATATGGTATGATTTATACGCTAGCCTTGGCTATATCCCACGCTCGCCCAGACGGCTAATTAAGTTGCCGGCTCTCTGAATACCACTTGTTATCAGCAGAAATTCGCTTGTGGGCGCATTAATTGCCCCTCCCCCTCCACCAACACTCACGTGGAGTAGCAGGGGACGAGAGGACAATGTGCAGTTGGGGCTTATAAAGCGTAAAATGAAATTATCATCGCACACATTTAATTATCCTGTAATGAAGTGAAAGGCATCGACCTCTCAATCCCCGAGAAGACGCTACCAGATGTCTGGGGTCAATTTGGTGTCACAGGTCACTTACCACTTTGCTGTTAGACGACGAGATCAACGAACTCAGCGGCGACAAAATAGTTCTCATCTAAATTAAAGTGCACTTTTAGTGCGACTCATCACTTGGTATCATTCTAACACTTTAACACTATAACACAATAACACTTTAACACTATTACACTTAACAACACATTAAAAAAAAATAAAAAAAAATTATTTCAATCACAACTTTATTATCGATTCATCTCTCTCATTTACGCACTTACAACTTTAATATCGATTCATCGCTCATATTTACGCACTCACACCCACGAACGCGCACTGGTATTGGTAGGAGAGGCAACGCCAAAAAACACGTACACAAAATTTGCAAAAATGCGTTTAACCAACTATTTAGATTTGTTACCGCACACATCGAAGTACCCGCTGCTTCATCTTCACTTCCCTTTAATATTTATTCACTTTTCGTTTAATTTAACCATTTAATTACCACAAAACAGAAAGATTTTTGTTACCAACAAACGAGTAAGCTGCGCCGCACGTGCTTCACAATGGCGGAGGTTTTCCAATAATCGATAGATCTCCTTCCCGATCTTGACATGTCAGAAAGCTAATTGGTGCAGCATCCACGTTGGAAGTTTAATAAGCACTGGAAATAGGCTAACGGCTACAAGATCTTCTAAGCTGTTTAGAAAACTAAAAAAGAGTTGGGGTAATAGTTATATGTTTTGGGATGCAATATTCTGGGCTTAAATCCAGTAATTGTGATATGTTTCTTATTCTCTTAAATTATTCCGAACTTTGCTCTGCATTTTATTTAGCTTTTAACTCTTGTTTGTTTTTTCTCTTGCTGGCAACGTTGCGTATTCTGAGTACATAGCTGTAAATTAGTTAAAAATGTAAACATAACTGGTATACCATATATTTTGGACTTTCTATGAGCCCCATTAACAGTTGATCGTAATTTCGTATCCTTAATAGGGAATGCAACGAAATGGGTGAATAACATAACAAACATGACGGCCATAACATGAAAGCCATTGCATAAGGTACCGCTGTCGGTCAGTGGTTCATCCCTCGAGGCCGCCCGCCCTTGATCAGTCCGTCTTCCCCACTTTCCCGATTTCCACATTTCGTGTGCCCTGTCTAGACGCTTTTAATTTGCGTAATCAAAACACAAAGAGCCGCGGCGACTGACAATGAGAACAGAAACCAAAACAGAAACAAAAACCAAATATTTTGCCCTAACACAGTGGCGAATAAAAAAAACAGCAGTCAGCAGAACAACAATAAAGCTTCGTATAAATAATGCAGAAAGTACGGCAACTCAAGAACGACAACAACACCATTGCAAATTAAAATGTGTGATAAATGTAAAGAAACAACAACAATGAGAACAGGGCGGAACGAAGAGTGGCAACCCTGGCGCCCTCCACCCTCCATCCCGCTCGCTCTCGAGAATAAATTTTTAACCCAATTGCAAGCATTTATATGGAAGTTTAACGGTGTTTTGAAAGATATTGAATCATTTGGTAGTTATATGATCGGTCGATACTTTATGCAAAGGGGTCAAAAATATGAAATGAAAATCTGTGACATTGAATCAGTGAAATCAACTTCTTCTTCTTTAGATTCTATAATCCTAAGAAGTGGTAATAAAAGATATAGTAATTAACGCCTAGCAGCCATTAAACTTGCCGCTTGGTTCAAAGAACCTATTTTAAAACTCGATTTTGAAACGACAAACACTTATTTATACCCAAGTTAAGGAGCATTAATCTTGCCCAGAAAAATGCAAAATTAAATGGCCTTGACCTTAACCCACAGTTCTAAAGTTTCGTATTGGGGTTAAGGAACTCCTTTTGATTTGTATCTCTTATGTGCCTTGTCTAATTATCATTTTAAGTGCTCACATAACAAATGCGATGAAATGCGACGATTAGCTTGTACCAAATCTGAGCTGATCTAAAAATAGCCTCCGGTTAATATGCTGCCTTCGGGACAAAGCCCAGGTAACGGTTCTCCCCAACTTAATTATCTACCTGCCCGCCTTCCATATATCTAAATAATTGTATTTTGAGTGCAGAAAGAAACATGCGCCGAGGCGATTATCATATATCAACTGCCGCGGTTCGCTTCTGCATTCGTTGTATAAGAGGCTAGACTGTAAACGAACCCGCCGATGGATTGCATTTCAGTCAGGGATTTCATGCATTCCAGGGGGTTCCTCAGGAAACGTTGTTTAAGGTGGAAGATTGCCTGTAAGCTTATCATGGATGATCATTTTGCTTGGCTAAGGTTAAACTTTAACTAATATTTACAGGAAAAACCACATCTAGCACTCTGTTTCAGCCATATTTCTGTATTATTCTCTGAAATGGCTCCTAAGCTGACGTGTTTATTGGTTCTGTTGCCTCGGTTGTTTGTGTTTTGCAACAAGTCGCGCTTTTCTCTGTAGATCTGTGAATCCATATCTGGAGCTGCACATAGATATATGCACCTTGGCACGAACTACAGTCAACAAACAATATGGTTAACTTC